TTCGGACAATCAAAAGGACTGGTTTTTGGGACGCAAAAATACAAATGTTTATATGTGATGTGTATATGAGACTATTAAGCCATTTAGATATTTGAAATGATGTATATTTTAAATGATTTTTGGAAATATTTATATTGGGTTTTTTAATAACGAATTAATATTATGCATGTGCCAGTGTGTTTCTAGTAATAATATGACAACATTGTAATTGACAAATAATCCTGAAAATTTGATTGCCGTCTAGCTCTAGTAGGTTTAACACTCTCAGAATAACAAACAGCCATAATATATCCTTCTACATTTACATTCATTTGACTAAGTAAATTATGTCTCAGATTCTAAGAAATGTTATAAAATTTATATCGGTCTAAACGGCATTTTGAAAAACAAGCTAGTTTGCGGTGTTGTAAAAAGTAACAGATTATTTTGGGTTTGCTTGCTTTAAATGCACTTTCTTCCCTATAATGGTAAAATTCCGGAAATCCTTAAACAAATTTTCCATTTCAAGATTACAAAAATTCACTCTCAAAATGTACTTCCCGGTAATAGGTAGAAATAAAACTGCATTGCAGTGCTATTTATTATCAGACATTCAGTTTTAACGCCTCCATAATCTGCAAAATATAATGTTATCTAATTTTTTTATGAAGGTATGTAGTAAACTTTTATTTTATTTCAGAAACAAATCTACATTTACAATGTAGCTTAAAAACTAGTGCAATAACTGAGGAATTGTTGCATGAGAATTGAAATAAAAGCTGAAAATTGGAAAGAAATTAAGCATGGATGAAGTTGACGGAGGACAAGCTAGAGTTGTAAGAACTAAATCGCTGAAGAGAGGAAAGCCTGGAGATAGGATAACTGATAGGGTAAGTGTAATTAATTCTCAAAAATTTAATAAGGTAATTGGTTAAACTTTGATGCGAATTTTCAACAAATAAGCAAAACTTTTCAGTAATTTTTAAGGATTTCTAAGATTGTACATTTTTGAGAAAATTGGATGAAATAAGACAGAAATTTTGTATTTGAAATTTCAGCTTTCTATTTACAATAGAATTTGAGATATGATAATGTTCAAGATATTCCGAATATATTCTATTACTGGAATTGTATGGAATAAGATAAAGACCAAGGGTTAAACCACTATCCCAGAATTGGTGCAAACAATTCCTCAAAGGGGAATTTTTTACACATAATTTTTCAAAATTCCTACAAATTTCTCCAGATATCCCATCACAAATTCCTCCAAATACTACACCACGAACTTCTCCAAATACCCCACAAATTCCTCTAAAAAGGGGAAAATTTTGAAACTTTTTGTATGTAAAGAGGAAGGTGAGAAACTCATTTTCCCAAAATTTCAAATTTTTCCAGTGGAAAACCGCAACATGAAAAATCTTGGAAATCAACCTACAATAACTGAATTAATTGAAAATACAGTCTCGCATATTTCAAAGTTTTCCTGGAAAACTAGTGAAGAGAGAAGTTTGAAACTTTTTGCATGTAAAGAGGAAGGTGAGAAGCTCATTTTCCCAAAATTTCAAATTTTTCCAGTTGAAAACAGCAACATGAAAAATCTTGGAAATCAACCCATAATAACTGAAGTACTTGATTGAAAATACAGTGTCACACATTTCAAAGTTTTCCTAGAAAACGAGTAAAGGGAAAATTTTGAAACTTGCATGTAAATAAGAAAATAGGAAGCTTATTTTCCCAAAATTTCAAATTTTTCTAGTTGAAAACAGCAACATGAAAAATCTTGAAAATCAACCTAGAATAACTGAATTAATTGAAAATACAGTCTCACACATTTCAAAGATTTCCTGAAAAACTAGTGGAGGGAAAGTTTTGAAACTTTTTGCATGTAGAGAGAAAGGTGAGAAGCTCAATTTTCCAAAATTTCAAATTTTTCCAGTAGAAAACAGCAACATGAAAAATCTTGGAAATCAACCTACAAAAACTGAATAAGTTGAAAATACAGTCTCACACATTTCATAGGTTTCTTGGAAAACTAGTAAAGGGAAAATTTCGAAACTTTTTGCATATAAAGAAGAAGGTAAGAAGCTCATTTTTCCAAAATTTCAAATTTATCCAGTGGAAAACAGCAACATGGAAAATTTTGGAAATCAACCTACAATAACTGAATTAATTAAAAATACAGTCTCACACAATTCAAAGATTTCCTGAAAAACTACTGAAGGGAAAATTTTGAAACTTTTTGCATGTAGAGAGGAAGGTGAGAGGCTCATTTTCCCAAAATTTCAAATTTTTCCAGTAGAAAATTATGACATGAGGAATTTTGAAAATCAACCTACAATAACTGAATTAATTGAAAATACAGTCTCACATATTTTAAAGTTTTCCTGTAAAACTAGTGAAGGGAAAATTTTGAAACTTTTTGCATGTAAAGAGGAAGGTAAGAAGCTTATTTTCCCAAAATTTCAATTTTTTCCAGTAGAAAACAGCAATATGAAAAATCTTGGAAATCAACCTATAAAAACTGAATAAGTTGAAAATACAGTCTCACATATTTCAAAGTTTTTTTGGAAAACTAGTGAAGGGAAAATTTTCAAACTTTTTGCATGTAGAGAGGAAGGTAAGAAGCTCATTTTCCCAAAATTTCAAATTTTTTCAGTCGAAAATAATAACATGAAAAGTCTTGGAAATCAACCTTCAAAAACTGAAGCAGTTGAAAATACAGTCTGACACATTTCAAAGGTTTCCTGGAAAACTAGAGAAAGGAAAATTTTGAAACTTTTTGCATGTAAAGACTAAAGAGAAAGGTGAGAAGCTCATTTTTCCAGAATTTCAAATTTTTCCAGTAGAAAACAGCAACATGAGAAATCTTGGAAATCAACCTACAAAAACTGAATAAGTTGAAAATACAGTCTCACATATTTCGAAGTTTTCGTGGAAAACTAGTGAAGGGAAAATTTTGAAACTTTTTGCATGTAGAGAGGAAGGTGAGAAGCTCATTTTCCCAAAATTTCAAATTTTTTCAGTGGAAAATAACAACATGAAAAATCTTGGAAATCAACCTACAAAAACTGAATTAGTTGAAAATACAGTCTCATACATTTTAAAGTTTTCCTAGAAAACTAGAGAAAGGGAAATGTTGAAACTTTTTGCATATAAAGAGGAAGGTGAGAAGCTCATTTTCCCAGAGTTTAAAATTTTTCCAGTGGACAACAGCAACATGAAAATCTTGGAAATCAACCTACAAAAACTGAATAAGTTGAAAATACAGTCTCACACATTTCAAAGTTTTCCTGGACAACTAGAGAAGGGAAAATTTTGAAACTTTTTGCATGTAAAGATGAAGGTGAGAAGCTCATTTTCCCAGAATTTCAATTTTTTTCAGTAGAAAACAGCAACATGAAAAATCTTGGAAATCAACCTACAAAAACTGAATAAGTTGAAAATACAGTCTCACACATTTCAAAATTTTCCTGGAAAACTAGTGAAGGGGAAATTTTAAACTTTTTGCATGTAGAGAGGAAGGTGAGAAGCTCATTTTCCCAAAATTTCAAATTTTTTCATTGGAAAATAACAACATGAAAAATCTTGGAAATCAGCCTACAAAAACTGTATTCATTATTCGTTTGAATTTTTTAAATTGGACAATTTCCTTTAAAATCCTCATAAATTCCTCACAAATTCTCCCAAATTCCCCATAAATTTCTCCAAATTCCCTATAAATTCCCCAAATTCTCATGGATTCGGATGAGTTCCTTCAAATTCCTCACAAATTCCTCTAAATTTTCTACAAATTCTTCTAAATTCCCCATATTTTTGGCAAAGAATTTCTAGATGGTTGGCCCCTTGATAAAGACTATAAGAAATTCTCCTGCATGGCGCTTTTTGAAATAGTTTCAAGGCACTCTTTCATAATTTTTTCAAATAAGATAAAACTAGTACGACATTTTTTAACACATTTCAAGAAACTCTATGTGTAAAATAAATCAAGTAATTTATGCATCCTTTTTTAAGACACGTTTTTGTCTTTCATTTTATTGATGTTGTACCATGTAAGGAACGGTACATATCCTGTGCTAAGTATTACGTGACGTTTACAAAACACGTAGATATTGTCTGAAAATGGAACTGTATAATCTAATATGTATTCTTGAATTTAAATGACTCTGGAGGTGCCATAACTGGGCAACTTCCACGTATATAATGGTTGGACATTTTTACACCAGGAATAATTTAGTTTAGTTAAGTTTGTTGAACTAAAATAATTGTCAATTTATAATTTTTTTTTTTAAACTGTTATAGCCGAACCATAAAAGTTGGGAAAATTGCCGTTTTCCTAATAGAAGTTTCCACCAAAGACCACTGTAAAACTTGCCACTTTTATAGTTTCCATAAAATGCAAAAGAGTAGCCTCACTAGGGAAGGACATAAATTTTACAGGAATTTACTTAGAATAGGTTCGGAAGATATCGTAAAGGGTGTCTCTCTAGGCTTTTATGTAAATGACTTGTAGGCCTTGGGGAATGGGTTATTTGGAAAGTTTGGTGAATTCAATTTATGGCAGAAATACAACTGAAAAAAAACTTCACAAATTCTAATTGGAAGCCTTCCAGTTTAATAGAGCTTTATTTGGAAACCAAAAATATTGATTTTATTGGTAATAATTATTGTCAATCAATTAGAAAACTATCACCATTGGCGAAAAATTCCCTCTTTACCGTAATAATCTCTTCTCAACGTTCAGTCAAGCGGATCAGTGGTAATAAATAACCATCTTGCCGTAACCGATCCGCTGGATGAAGAAAATGGTATAAATCTCGAATTATCACTGTAAATATGAATAAGAAAATTCGCATATCCGTATAGGAATTGTTTATATATTTTCCGTGTTCACCTGTAATAATTTAACGGCAACGTTGCCTCCTTATAGCACACCTTAGACTTTGCCGAAGGCGATGTTTGACCATTTCCTTTTTTTTTTCTAATAACTAACAATAAACTTCGCTAACATTCAGTCGGTTTTCGTTACGAGCCACATTAAGGTGTCTATGCGCTACTTTCGATTTGTTTCGCGTTGGTTTTTGGATTTAGTGTAACAGGTGCCTTATGGATATACATTTGTACAATGTGAACAATTTAATTATTGTGTTAGTGATTCGATAATGAGTTCTCAGGTATGATTTGGGAAGTTTTTTGTAGAAAATTCAACCAATTTTGTAAAAATTGACTAGCAGATTTCGGCCCGATACATTATCTGACTCATAATTTAATTATCAGTTATTAGGCAGATAATTGATAATTTTCTCAATTTGAGAGCAGATGTTGCACCGCAATTATTACACATAATAATAGTTTTAATTATATTCGGAGATAACTGAAAACAAGATTCAATAAATGTTTTATGTGAAAGCTACCATCATTCACTTTCCGGACATCAAGTTTGCATTTTATTTGCAAAGTTTATGGTAGAGAGACGAAAATGAAATTCGAATAAATGGCGCAATAATTATTGAGAAGAGTCTATTGTTCCAACGGAACGGTTTATAGGTGAAAAGTAAGGAGAGATTTATGCATTTGCATTTGAAAGAAGTAATTCTGTCTGCTCTGTCTCTGAGATTTAATTATGTATTTGAAATAAATTAAATAGAAACTTTACAGGGCTGATTCGAGTTTATGAAACTATATTTATGATAATTTGAAAGTTTTGAAGGCTATTTTTCATACCTTGGAGTTATTTCCTCGGGTATTTTTTGGAAGGACTGAAAAATCAAAAATTTCGAACTTTCATGTTTTCCAAATTTTGACTTTTTCAATGGAAAGGGGAGGTCGAAATTAGTTGAAAACAAATCTCACATTATTCTGAAAAAAATAGTTTTATGAGAAAAAGGAAATCTCAATTTTGACCTGAGAAACTTTCCTATTAATTGGACCTGGCTTCAGTAATTTGCTCACAGTTTTGGTAATTCTCAACGAACCCACTTGTAATATAGATTTTCTAAAAGAGGAATAGATTCTCTATAAAATCTCCAAAAACGAAATTAGTTGATTGTATAGGCTTTGGGAAATTAGGCTTCAAACTTGAAACTTCACTTAGATTTTATCAAAAACTTCAAGATCAAAAAACTCAAAAACCATAAGTGATATAAATATTTACCACATAAAGTATTGCAGTATTTAATGAGAGCTACAATCTTTGGAAATTTTGATAGGATACTTTCCATGGTTACCCAGATATTGCCAATTGAAGATTTTGAATAAAAAATCCAAAGGGGGTAGGCTGAAATATCAAAAATTTTGAATTTTAATATTTTTCAAATTTTCACTTTTCCAATCTAAAGAGGAGGTTAAAATGAATTGAAAACAAATCCAACATTATTTCGGAAAGGGTAGTTTCGGTAGTTTTATGAGAAAAAGAAAATCTCAATTTCTCTCTCAGAAAGTTTCCAAATAATTTGACATGGCTTCAGAAATTTGCTCATAGTTCTGGTAATTCTCAACGAATCAACTTGTATTATAGATTTTCTGAGAAGGGATTAAATTCTCTATAAAATCTCCAAATATGAAATGAGTTGATTCTATAGGCTTTGAGAAATTAAGCTTCATACTTGAAACTTTACTGAGATTTTGTCAAAAACTTCAAGTTCAAAAAACTCAAAAACCATGAGCGATATAAATATTTTGTTAATAAAGTATTAAAGTCCTCAATCCTAAAAAAATGAATTGAATACCCTTCATGGTTGCCCAGATATTGCCAACTGAAGAATTTGAATAAAAAATCCAAAGGGGGTAGGCTAAAAAATCAAAAAAATCGAATTTTCATATTTTTTGAAATTTTGACTTTTTCAATCGAAAGAGGAAGTTAAAACTAGTTGGAAACGAATCCAACATTGTTTCGGCAAGGGTGGTTTTATGAGTTATTTGACATGGCTTCACAAATTTGCTCACAGTTTTAGTATTTCTCAACGAATCAACTTGTTTTATAGGTTTTCTCAAAGAGGATTAAATTCTCTATAAAATCTCCAAATATGCAATTAGTTGAATCTATAGGCTTTGAGAAATTAGGCTTCAAACTTGAAACTTTACTGAGATTTTTTCAAATCTTCAAGTTCAAAAACCATAAATAATATAAATATTTAACAAATAAAGTATTGAAGTACTCAATGAGAGCTAAAATCTCTCAAAAATTTAATTGGATACTTCTCATGGTTACCCAGATATTGTCAATTGAAGATTTTGAATAAAAAATTCAAAGGGGTTAGGCTGAAAAATCAAAAATTTCGAATTTTCATATTTTTTCAAATTTCGACTTTTTTAATCGAAAGAGGAGGTTAAAATTAGTTGAAAACAAATCCCACATTGTTTTGGCAAGGGTGGTTTTATGAGAAAAAAACATTTTTTGAAAAGAAAATCTCAATTTTGACCTCAGAAATTTTCCTATAATTTGACATGGCTTCAGAAATTTGCTCACAGTTTTGATAATTCTCAATGAATCAACTTTTATTATAAATCTTCTGAAAGAGGATTAAATTCTCTATAAAACCTCCAAAAACGAAATTATTTTATTCTATAAGCTTTGAGAAATTAGGCTTCATATTTGAAACCTTACTGAGATTTTGTCAAAAACTTCAAGTTCAAAAAACTCAAAAACCATAAGTTATATAAATATTTAGTAAATAAAGTTTTGAAGTCCTCAATGAGAGCTACAATCTGTGAAAAATTTAATTGGATACCTCTCATGGTTACCCAGATAATTATTGCCAATCGTTTATCTCAGGATCTTGAATTTGAGTTTCTTTTAAACGTAAAATCATCATTAGAGTGCCTAGAATGAAAAAAATAACAGGAAAAACTCAAGAGCCTGGAATAAATACATAAATAAAACAATAATATTATAATATAGTAATAGAAATAAAAAGAAAAATCACTTATTAATATAGTTATGTTGCATAAAACCAGATTTATGCAATACATACAAATAAGTCATATAATGACCTAAAATTCAACTGCAATATTTATTAGAATTTTGCACTTTGCCACGATAAATTCAGGTTTGACATTTTGTACTACTTAGTTCTTGGTTTACACCCAACCATTTTACAAAAGAACAGAACAATATTCTGTTCGGATTAAGGTCAATAGCTCGATTTTATGGCCTAAACAGAATCCGTTCATTACGTTTATAAGACACTTCGCCTATTTTGTATGAGAAATATGTGATACGGTGGGCGGTTGTGTTATGAAATACTTTGGTATACATTATTGAGTCAGTTTTAATAATTATGTTAGTTGAATCAAATTATCATAAATAAATATGTTTGACAATTTTCACTTCATAACAAATTTTCTATGTATTATAAAAAACAATTAGAACCAATAAATTCAAGGTACATATTTGAAAAACCTGCTCTTTAAGATTCTTCTTTCATCACTTACTAGTAGTAGAATTTTATTTATTATTATTTCAATGACACAAAAATGTTAGTCTAACCTTTACATTTACTATATTATTTTGTAAATATTGTATAATAATCTGATATGTATTATGCGTAATGTTTTGCTAACTTTATCACTCTTGTGTAAACAAAAATGTTTATATTATGTATTAGCAGTTGATTAATTTTTTTTTTGGATAATAGAGGTGACAAACATGAAATAATAAAATTCCTACTGATTGGCAAACAACAAAGTTTTCTATAAAATTTCTGACATTTCTGAAACAAAAATTGATAATTTTCAAAATTTCTGAGAGATTTTTACCTAATTTCTGCCCAAAATTTTCAAACATCTCTACAATATTCACTGTAGTTTTCTAGAAATGATCATTTACTTACATTTTACACATTACTGCGATAATAGTTCTATCAAGGGGTAAACCACCTCCCCAGAATTTGTGCAAACAATTCCTCAAAGGGGAATTTTCTACACATTTTCTGGCAAAATTCCTCCAAATTCCTCTAAGTTCCCTGCAAATTCCCACAAATTCCTGCAAACTCCTCTCAAATTCCCCACAAATGCCTCTTACAAATACCTTGAAAATCCTCATAATTGCTCGTGATAAGTTTATTTTTTAAAATTTTTATTTTGCATAGGCTCGGTTTGTTCATCTTCAGATAAACTTGCTGGTAACTATCTATAAGATAAATTTACCCATTTCATAATCTTATTGGATTGGTCAAGGAATAACTAGCCAACCAATGGGATTACAAATTGCGTTTTATCTGTCAGATTGGATTACCTGAAAGTTTATCAGAAGGCGAATAGACCGGCCCTTAGTGTTAAAACACAAAAGCAGTTTATCAAGTAGGATCAAATGCAAGGTTAGGTTAGTTGACTTTAGAGCTAAAACTAATTATTGGTTTTCGGTAATCCAGAATGCAGGGGTTTAAATTGAGGTTTAAACTAACCTAAACCTGCATTTGATATTTCAAAAAACTTAGATATGTATATTGTTTAACAATATTGAGGGTATATTATTTCTTTTTATTTTAAATGGACCCGAGAATGGACCTTTTCCTAAAAGTTGAACAGGATTACAGGACCATAAACAATAAATTGAATCTGAACCTCAGCATAGGACTCTGCATAGGATAAGTAGGCCATACGAATGTGTCTTATTCCCTTTTTCAATAATTTGAAAATAAGCAAACCATTTTTTCAACGTTCAGCCCCTTTTCCATATATTATGATACTAGGATACAATATATTCGGATTCAAATACAAATAAACTTAAAACTGGTATCAACTTCAAGTAGCTTGAAATTCATTGGCACTCAGGGTCATTTCTAAGGAGATTTTGTACCTCTTCTGGAAAAGTTCATCCTATCTTCTGGAACAATGTCAGAATTAACTGATAAATGTTCACTTTCATTATGTTTTCCCTCGTGTTTTCCTCGGTTTTTTCCAATTCCCATATTAAAATGATCCACTGAAATTATGTAATCTCCATCCTCTAATGACCAATAATTTTTTTTCTCACTATAGGCTAGTAAAACTAGGTGGGCGACCCTAAACAAATTTGCCACAAGCTGATTTTTGCGCCATTGTGTTCCTTTTAGTGTTTTATATAATTGGTTAAAAATCCCAAAAAATCCGATAGGGGGCGCAATCCCAAAACCACCCCCAAAGGTACATTTTTTAGGAGTGTTGGAATTTTCTCAAAAACGGTAAGTTTCAA